GCTTCCATTTTTCACTCCTTTAAGCTGGAATGAACATCTTTATATAAGCTATTACTTTAAAGCAGCATGCAGAGATGACTCTCCATCACTAATCTAAAAATACAGGGTTTATATATTTACAACTCACATTTGATTATGAAATTTAATTTGAGGGAAATTAAGACATTTATATTCCAAACAGCTACTTGACATCAAGCTCTCCCCGAGCTAGCCAGGCGCAACCATGACTTGCCATTTTCACCTCAAGACAGCACAGTCCAGTGAATTCTAAAACACAATTTTCTTATGAAAAATAAACTTTCTGAACTCTTGCTGCTTTAGAGCCAAGAGATTAACTCCAAGAGTCCATGGTTCTCTGCGGTGACACAGCCAAGGCAAGCCATCGCTGAAAATGCCAGTTTGGTGTCATGCTCAATCCAAAATTCAAGGCAACCCTTGTTGAGTCTGTGCTCTAGGACCAGGTACGTTCCTGGGACCTACCTGGAGGTTCTCTGCATAACCTGCACCCAGATACTTTGTGGCAAAAGGCCAAGGAAATTGCTTACGTGAGTTCCAGCTGTTTGATGCTTTATGAGGTTTATCATGGGTCACTTCCAGTTACAGATTTCCCCAGGCAGGGGTAGTTGCTTAATGCATGGGACTTAAAGGGATGCACTGGCTGTGTGATTCTGAGCAGGTTTCGAAAAAATCTTGTGCCTCCGTTTCTCGATCTGCTGCTTGAGGATAACAATAGTACCGCCCCTGTGAGGCTGTCAAGAGAGTCAAGGAGAAGATGCAAGTGAAGTGCCTAGGACAGTGCTGGCACTTGGTTAGGACACAGAAACAGGGAACATATGGACTGAATGTTGAGGTTACACTGTAACGTGTACATGAACGAATGCGTGAAGGAACGATGAAAAACGAGTGTGCCCGGCAGTTCCACTTGTCTCAGACTCTCATCTAGAGAATGTCCAATTTTCTTTTATGACACAATGTTTTTTTATTTGTTTTTTAAATTTTATTGAAGCCTAGTTGATTTACAATGTTGTGTTAATTTCTTCTGTCCAGCAAAGTGACTCAGTTATACATATGTATAATTCTTTTCCATTATGGTTTGTCACAGGAGATTGAATATAGTTCCCTGTGCTATGCAGTATGACCTTGTTGTTTATCCATCCTATGTATAATCGTTTGCCTCCGCTACTCCCAAACTTCCATACAAAATCATTTTCTTAATGGTAATCACTTCAAGCCCAATCCCCCCAATAAACAGTAAATGAACACCCTGGAAAGATGTGCCCAACTTAATATAAAAGTGATTCTTAATGTCCAGGAAAATTCCATTGTGAAGCTTCAGAGAATATCATCCAGTCATCAGCAGAGCTCATAAACTCATCTGAAGGCAAAACAAGTCACACCTACAAAACTCCTTGGTGTCTTTACTATCAGTGAAATGAGGACGACTTCATTACCACACTCAAAAAAAAAATTCAGCAACAGCAAACTAAACTGATAAAAAAAACCTTATGTAGCACCATCATTTCTACTAATAAGGAAATGGTTTTTATATACTTTGCAACTCCCTGTGAAACAGAGAGGTGCTTAGGAATTTTTTATTATTACTATTTTGCCACTGGCAATTAATTCTTCTGATTTGTTTTATTAGTTTGATGATTGGGTCCAAGACTCAGAATATCTTTCCAAACCAGCAGAGACTCTGATGTCAAACAATTATTTCAGTTCAGTTTTTGGCAAATCGTGATGATAAATAGCATGGTGGGACAAACTTATTCAGACACACATTTCTCTGTAGTGGCAGGGGAGAGGCTGAAGAATTACTGTAAATTTTTGCTTTTTGTAAAAATGCTCCCTTTCAAGTTTCCCCTAGTATAAATGTCTTCTGTAGAATGACGGCACAATACATTCTGACATACCTGGACAACAAAGGCATTAAAGAATGAATATGAGATAAGAGTGAGGGTTAAGATTTTCATTTCCTTATTATCCCCCCCACCCCACCCCCATAATCTCCCCGACACAAGGTCCCTTGTGTGCATCTTTTTTTTTTTTTTTTTTTTT